TGCATGACACATCAAGAAATTTTCTGCTTTGCTCGATTTTCATGAGGGGGGAGTTAGCATTCCTATTTTGTTGTCTATGTCCTGACCACAGTGATATTGATATGGATAGACATTAGGGGCCGGGGCTTACAGAAACCTTTATAAAGGCAGAAAAACGGGTTCCCTCTTGCTGCACAGGAACTTTAGCATGATTACTCAGCTCTCACCCAGTCTGTGCCTCTTGGCAGCTCTTGCTGGCCAGCTTCAAATTTAAGGTGGGAGGGGGCAATGTCCAGTCAGGCCATGGACAATTTCTTGAGGTGTCAATAATGTCCTTCTTCTACCTCAACTGGTTAAGGAGACACTTGTGTGAATCCCCACGGGATCCCTGAAGCAGCTCTCTGGAGCACCAGGTGGAGGGCGACGAGGGTGGGGGTCAGTTCTGGCAGGCCTGGGGGAATACCATTGAGCTGAAGGAAGGAAGGTCCTGGACGGTCGTGTCCCCACACTATTTTGGAAGAGAAGAAGATGGGTCGTAGTGAGTAGCCGGCTCCAGATGCTCAGGAGCCAAGGCCTTTTGAAGCAAAAGGGTGAACAAACTTCCTGTGAGCTCGCTGGTTCTTGCTGGGTATGTCCTCCGTGTTCTGTTCTAGAATCCTTGAAGCCAGCAGCTGCTCGGATCTGGGAGCAGCGTTCCAACCTGTGAAGATTCCGGAGACCCTGTCTGACTGGGTACTAAGACCATGCCTGCCCCAAACTTTTTTGGAGGAAGTGTTGTTTCTCCCACTTCGCTTCATCCGAGAAGTACACTCCCGCCCCTCTCTCGCCGGCCAAGCGGTGACCTCAAACCCTGTGCCTTCCAATGAACCAAAAAAGCAACTACTCACTCTTGGGTGCCACCTCCAGAGTGAGTCCCTCGGGCTCTTTCGGAGCGCCCGGCCGGCCCACCTGGCACTCCGGGCGGGCACCGAGCGGGCTGAGAGCGTTGGCCAAGTCCCCATGCTATTTTGGATGGGAAGGGAGTCTCACACTCGCTAGAGTAGAAACTTGTCTACTGCAAGGTAAAATGAGCAGCAGTAATTTTAAGACATTTTGAAGATAGTCTTTCTCCTGCGAACTTTGAAACTAAAAAGGCGGAGACAATTATTTTAGGTAATTTTAGCAACACTCAAGGGAACAGGGAAAGCTTGTGTTCCCAGAGCATTCTCTGGGGGCACTGAGTGCAATTCTCTAGAAGGCTCCACTTTTCCAGAAATTTCTCCCCAGCCTTTCAGTCTCCCTGCTGTTCCTCAATAATGCCCTGCCACGGGGAAATCAGTCGGACAAACGCGACCGAGGGAAAAAACATTCCTGCTTGGCTCCAGATGCCCGGGAATATTAAGGGGAAACCAAGAGCTGCGGAGACACCCACACTGCCCCGCCATCAGCACCAGGAGAGGGGTGGGAGCTCTACGCCTGCAGGCGGACTTGAGGCAGGAGAGCTACGCGGCTAGTCCCTGGCGCTGTGCGGAGACCGCCGGGGCGCCCCATTTCCCGCTGGTGTAGGCCGGGAACCCCGGTTCAAGAGCCTCCTGGAATGGGCTACTTCCGGAGCGCCCTAGACCACGCCCACTTGAGCTCGCCACGCCCACGGTTCTGCTTGCACCGCCCACTCCACTGTCTGGGCCGCCGGCTTTGAACTGAGGAAAAGTTTGGGGGGGTGGGAGGGGGATAAACTTAAACAAGTGGCAGAGTAAAGGCCGAAGCGGGCTTCAGTATGGAGCCGGGAAGGGGCGGTCATTTTAAGACATGAATCGCAAGTCTTTGGACGCAGCCAAGCTTCAAAAAGCTCAGGGCCCAGAGGGCAGCGGGTCTCAGGCCTCGTCCATTTGTGGTTGGAGAGCGAAAGGGTAAGACCTTCGCATCACTTTCCTGTACTAGTATCCCTGACCAACTCCAATCGTCCCGAGTCAGAGGAGCTAAGAACTGTCCCCACGCCCTTGACAGGCCGGGTTTCTTTAAAAGGTGCAGTGCCTTCCATAGAGACCTGTTAAAGCGTCTAGACGCACGGCGTCAAGATGCGGTGCAATGTAAGTACGTGGAAAACCAGTTCACCAAAGGAAGTTTCAGTGAAACTGAGGGGGTCTTATTTTCCCAAGGGAGATGCTGGCCGGGGCTGGCCTTTGCCACAGCCCGAGATTACACTCTTCGTTGCGTGGATAGCACAACTGGCCCCAGTTGCGGGTATGACAATGGTGGTGGCAGCAAGAAGGCGAGTCACCAAGGGTGTTCTGGCCCCCGGTTCCACAGCTGGGGGTCTGCAAGTTTCAGGGGTCCCAAGGGTGGGGACGCGAACCCAGCGGCCTCTTTGTCGCGGTGGGTTGCAGGCCTCCAGCGGGAGGGGTCGCAGGATCCCAGCCACAGCGCAAGTCAGAGGCTTCCTTGGGGAAAGGTAAAAGCTTTTGACCTCCAGACACTTGGCATCGGATGCTTGACAAGCATCCGGCAGAGAAAGGCCAAGTAAGCCTGCCTTGATTTCCCAGCGCCAGAGCAGTGGCACTTCTGCAAAGGCTCAGCTAGGGACGTACCCCGACGATGAGCGCAGCCAACCCCGCGGGCACTTTGCCCGACACGCCCACTCTTGCACTCAAGTGTTTTGCGCACTCGTACATCCCACATACTACTTGGTAGATCCCGCCCGTGGGAGTGGTGGGACTAAGTAGAATTGCTGGTCATCTCGAAGGTGAAGAGCTTTTGAAAAAGTGATCACACCTCGAATGTTTATTAAAATAGGGCCAAAATACAGCGGTCAAGATTTACAGTCTATGCGCTACCTTGCATCTAGAATTGGGTAAGTTCATAAGGCAGTTCTCTTGGTCCTGTCTGGCACCCTCCCCCTAGCAGTCAAGAACAAATGCTGGAGGAAATCTGAACGTCACTCCACTCTACCTGGCGCTGGAAGAAGGCTCCAGGTCTCTTGCTATGGGGGTATATGGAAGAGACAATTACCAACCTGTGACCCAGACTGGCCCAATAGTCTTGAGCCCCAGCCCTCCCGCTGGGAATGGCCCTTCTGGGGATGTATCGCCAAAAGGTGTCCCTTGCACGCCCCCCCCCCCCATGCCGCACTACACTAGGCGTCAGGTGAGGCAGGTAGGTGTACCTCAAGGCTTCTTTAGCAAAGAGAGGTGCTTCCCAAGCAAGAGGCCCGGGTTCCAGGGCTCTGCCCGCCCAGGCTCAGAGTCGGGTCTTCAGTGTGAACTAAGGATCTACAAGGTGCTCAGTCTGAGACCGCTGGCACATTACCCAGGCTCTGTCCAGCTTTTCAAGAAGTGCACAGGCACTGATGGGAACAGTACTAGGAGGACCACTCCCCCATTGAAGGGCCAAACCGAACTTCAACAACCCCCTTATTAGCATGTTGGTCTGACAAACTCAGGAATCCTCAGTATTACTCAAAAAGGGAGGGAGGGGCTGGAGCACGAACGCTCAGATGAGCAAGAGACCCTCAACTCTGAGAACGCCACCAGCAACCCCTGGAGGTGGCGGCTAGGCAGGCCGGTTCCCTTTTCTGCATCCCTGCAGCCTCCCAGTGTCGCCGTCACAATAGCTACAGCTAAAGCCGCCGAAGGGCACACTGCTGCAGTAGCAGCAGTCTGACAAGTGTGATAAAATGATCTTCCTTAACTAAACTCGTAAAGCACTAGGCAATAAAACTCAATCTTCTGTAAAATCCAATTAAGTCATTATCTGACTGATTGTATCTTTAATTGAAAACAGAAGTGACAGTAAATTTCTGTGATATATCAGGATCAATCGATACCACTATACGATTCAGCCCCAAGAAGTGATTTATAATGTCAAACCTATATAGGTAACTCCACATTATTCTCTCTAAAACCACTGGTGGATGAAATTAAGAGTAAGTGCATTTAATAAAAAACAAGATGGTCAGGTTATTGATTACAACAGATGGGGGTGAAATCAAATAGATGTTTTCAAAGCACAGAGCGAAGAAAATACAAGTAATTTCTTTTTTCCTGTTTAATACGGCTCACCCAAATATACACACAAGAAAATTCAGTCATCAATAACATTTTTATTTTCAGGTACAGCTGCAACTACACAGAACAATGAATTTTTTTTAGACAAGTTTCATTTCAGGACGGCTTCTGTTACATAAGGAAGTACTCCATAAGCAATTTTTAACAAAATAATGAACTCAGAAATTTGAAGTAACTTTTAAAGATGTACCTACTTCCAAATCAAATTACAACTTAAGGTTACAAAATAGTCTAGATTGCATCCATTTTTTTTCTGTACTAGAAAGAGTGTATGTTAAACTCATTATTCTATAAACAACACCTAGAAGCTTTGCCTCACTGGGGTTACTTTAAATGGTGTTGTTTTCAAATTATCCTTTACAGAAAAAGTAGCTATTCTAAAGGGCTGTACCTTTTTCTCACCATATTTCAGTTACGTTTTGTATTGGGGGGTAGGGCATGGCTATTTCCAACAGCAAACAAAAACAGTATTTCCATTTACCCTGACTTTCTGCAGATTTCTAAAGTAATAATTTTGCCTGCTCTTTTCTTCCCACTGGTCATGTACTTGGCTAAATTTATATTCTTGCAGTTTTAATAAAATACTAATTTTTTAAAAAAATCTAAGGCACCTAAGATATTTCATTTTTAAAACAAAAAGTACACTAATTATGACTAATTTAGACACAAATATATGGCTTTACTTGAGCAAATTACTGACTGTATTTCCTGAAAACGACATGTAAACCAGTGTCATTAAAAAAAAAAATGAGGGGCACTACTATTTAAACTCCATGAGCAAAGCACTTAATTCTTGGAGATGGTAGTCATGAACCCTAAATTATTACAAGTGTGTTTTACCTCTCAACTAAACTCTAAGGAGTACAAACCAAACACATTCTCAACTGTTAAGTCAGCATGAATCAATGCAAAATAACAACAAACCCTGTGGATAATGGAATAAGCCTGCTTTTCCAAGTGAACTGACAAATGCAGCCAGCGGCCGCTCACTCATCCTCCTCCATGACCGGAGTGACCGTGAAGCTGCTGGGCTCCGAGGCAGACTCACATTCGAGAACCCCCTTTGTACTCTCATTACTAATAGGAGAGCTGCTGGAGAGGGAAACCAAGCCAGAATCTTGACTGCTGGGCGGCGAGAATACTGGGAAGTGGGGAGAGAGAAAGGAGAAAAGAGTATGTTAAAAGTGGCTAGTCTTTCTACATTCAGTATTCAATTAGGTTTCAACAAAGAAAGAGGCACTCTGCATTGCTGTTCTGAGTTGCAAGTGTTTTTACAGACCCTCATTAAAATTTCCAGTGCTTTAGGATGGGGAAAAAAAAAAAAAAAAAGCGGAGGTTAGGTAGCAGAATCCCAATTTTACATTTTTTTTTTAAAGTCCGCTCTACTATCTTTGGGAAACTATTTCCACCCCTCACTGAGTCCCTCTCCTTTATGCTAATGAACTTGTCAATCAAGTGATCCATCTGAGAAAGTATTTCTAAGTAAGGCTCCACCCATGTTTTTCCACTGTTGGACAGGCAAGATCTAGTGAGGATAACAAATCAATTTTCCTATTATTTCTCTTGGTTACAAAGACAATAAACATGGGGGTTGCATCAGCATATATAACTTTTTTAAAAAGTAAAAAAAAAGTGGGAGTAAATGGGGGGGAAATTTTTATAAATGGAAAAAATGAAATTATATCACTAAAGTATAAGTCAGGAAAAGAGGATTTTGAGAAACACATAAACATAAAAATTCCAGTGGGAAACTGACATTAAATATGAAGGATGCAAAAGTAATAATGTGTTGAACAAAATTTTGCAACCTTACAAGTCACAGTAGATACAAAATTTAAGCAAAAGGGTCTCTGACCTTCTTAACCTTAGCCCAGTTTAGATCCACCCCCAGAACTCCCTTCCTGACTAGTGTGAATGTAATTAAGGGGAAGCTGCAGTGGTAATTTCTCTCCTCATTAACTTCCTGATTGGTTTCAGCCTCAGGATTCTGCCGGGCAGTAGTTTGTCACCAATTCCAAATGGCCAATCGTTAATACTAATGTTTGTGTAACTAACTGCCAGCATCTGCCACGGCTTCTTGTACAACAATAATGGTGAAAGGGTACATTAGTGCTCCTGTGTTAATTCAGCTTGTGTTCATCAATAGGGAAATCTATGATGTAATTAGCAAAATGCATTGGGAGCTGAGTGCTGAAGTCATTTGTAGAGAACTAAATCATAGTAGAAGCTGTACTGGGTCCTGATGTGTTTGCCATCAATACTTATTATGTTTGGAATTTAATAAGGTATATTACCAGGCTGAAAAGAGACCTTTTTACAAGAGAACACCATTTATGCTTGTTACGGGTTTGGAAAAGGTTTGCTGCCGCTAGTAGAATCACACAGAAATAAAAGAGAGCTACGATTTAAGAAATGGACATTTGGACCAAATTATTCCCAAACGCTCCCTCTCTCCAGTGTGACAGACAGATGATAGTTTTGTATAGTTACCTCAGTATCCAATGAGGAAAGGGGTGATCTGAAAACTTAGTACAATAATAAATTTGAAAAGTAACTTAGGCAATTTCCTGAAAAGAAATCTCTTTTGTATTGAGGGTATCTGTGTAGTCTTTAGTAACTTAAATAAAAAGCAAAAGGTGCTTTAAAAAGGGGGAAATAATCATAAATCGTATTTTACAGATGACAAAAAAATGCATAGTACAGCAACCAAAAGCTGGGAACCTGAACTCTTTATTGCAGTGCAGAACAGCTTCTCACAAAATCTGATTTGTTATATGGATCTTAAACCCCCTGCAAATCCAAGGTGATTTATGAATTGTGTAAATGCACCTGATTGTTAAATAAATACACAGCAAATATGTTTTCCAAAAGTAGTAGACTCTGCTCTGAGATCTTGCTACTATACATATCTGGAGAGCCCAGTGGAGAGTCTGTGAGTTAAACTGCTGACTCCCATCCCAGTCCAACCACTGACAGGGTCTTCTCTGCATATAGGCCATGCATGGGTAAGGAAGTGAACATTACTGACTGCTCTCTGCGTGCCACATACTTTAATGAGGGATTTCACCCTTGAAGCACTCAGAGAATTATTCTCCCCATTTTTATATAGGGATCCTGACTCTCTGGCATGCCCTTGTCCCTGCAGCATTCTACCCTTGGGCACCATGCTTTGGTAACTGGCCACTGAACCCTTCCAACCCTTGTGTGAGTTTAAGGGAATTTTGTCAGACTGATTTGGAGACTCCACAGGAATAAGTGTTCTTCCAACATGTTCTAGGTCCTGGGGTTGCTAAGCCTTCAGTTAGAATCTGATGGAGAAGATGCCCCCACCCTCCTCATTTAGCCAATTTGGGACTGAAATGAGGAGGGATGAGAATTTTTTTTACAAAAGAAAGGAATCTGGAGATAGGAGATAGTTCAGTTTTACTCTCACTTGCCTTGTGGGTATTTTCTTGGAAAGTGCCCTGTGGCTTGGGGCTACAGAGACACTAGGAGTTAGTAGCAGACACATGCAGATGTGTCACCTGCATAGAGCAGGAAGGCTCCCAGCATACTTAACGCATGACTGCACTCCAGAGAAGATGTAAATAAAGAACTTAACCTGTTTTGAAAAGCACCTGCATTTTTTAAAGTGTTTCTCCACTCAGAATTTTAATCCATGTTATTTCTATGTTTGTTCAAGGCTTAGCATTGTCTTTGAATAGGCTGCTGAAGTTAGGGATAGTATCTGTTTTAACTCATTTTGTATAGCACCTCGTAAAAGTTCCAAATGCCTACAAAGATTTAGTGCTAAAGGTAACCTGCCCATTTTAATGCAACTTAAACTATTTTGGGGGCAAGAGTAACAACTGTCGATTGTAAATTATTTTATACCAATCAGAAATTCAAAAACTCAAAATGATCCTACTTTTGCTTTTTTAAAGGTTGAGTAATGGATAATATAGGGGGCTAATTTCAACTCAAAAGGTTTGTCTTAATTATTTTGTAAAAATGCTACTAACTCCTAGTGTCGGTGGCAATGTTGGGGAAAGATAATACTGCTAGTAGTTCAATCTTTCTGGACAGCAATCTACTGACATGTAATAAGAGCTGTAAAACTGTTCAGCCCCTCTGACCTAGTAATTCCACTCTGGGGAATAACCCCAAAGAAATAAAGAAAGAAAAATTAGCCCAGAGATGCTCACACCACTGTTTGCATGGATGAAGATGTTTGTACGTTGTTCTTGTGCTTTGGGGGGGAGGAAAAAGGGGGCAGTTGCATTGGAGGAGGGTGCAGGAAGCATTCACAGGCAATAACCAATTAAGGATTATGCTACCCTATAATCACTGCTAGCCTCCTGGCATTTACAGAAATGGAAGAAATGACTTCTGGAGAGCAGAGTGGGGATTGACAAGTAAAGGAAAAGTAAAAAGGAAAACTTAACCATCTGATCTTTTTGTGTGTGTGTTACAATAAAAGGTGGGTAAACCAAATAGGCTGACCCTTGTTTGAACCAAGCAAGTCTAGTATCTGTTTTTCTCAAGTAGCCTATTTGTCCACAGCAGCTAAAGGGCCATTCTTTTATTATTTAAAAACAAAGGTGAAAACTCCTTACCAATCATTCTTACTAATGTGGGGGTGATACTTAAGATGATTTGGTGATGCTGTCTGAACATTTTGGAAATTTTGGGAAAATATTACATATTACCAAAGAAGGAAAAAAAAGAAAAAGAAAAGAAACCTTCAAAAAATAAACAAAACCACTCCAACTGCTCAATCTTTTGACATTGCAAAGACCCCTGACTTTTAACTTGAATGATCTGTTGGAAGTCAATGGACTGGAACGAATAATTCTCTTCTAGTGATGTGGGAAAACACGATAGATATTCATGCTTGAGAAAAAAAAACATGTTCTTCTATATGTTAAATACTATTAAACTCCTACCAAGAAGCCATTTAAAAATAAAATGCCAAGAGGAATTCTCCAGTGGTTAGCAACTCTGCAGCTGGCTGCTGGCTGCCAAGGAAGACAGACTTAGTGTGCTGGTCTCTTTGGCTTGGTAGGTTGTAGGCTTAAGGAAGTCTGATAGAAAGCTGCTTAAAATTTCTTAAACAAATTCTTCCGCTTCACCGTAACCATAGTGTTTGGAAATAAAATCATGCCCAATCAATACCACTTAGCAGATATTTAATGTTTCACAATAGAACACTTTTCCACAGAGGAACTGCTGCCCTTCTCACTAACATTTAAAATAATTAGGATTATCCCAGCTGCTGGAGCTTGGCAGGTTCAGTTTGTACTTTCAAACAGCATTAATTCTTGGCATCAGAACAAGGGATAAAAGGTAAAGATATGAATGGAGATCTTTATTCCACCTGATCTATCATGGATTAGCTCATTCTTTTCCAGTTCATGCCTGCACTCTAGTTAGGAGGAAGGCTGAGCTGTAACTGATGTAATTAGAAACCACAAGCTGAGAAAAAAATAGCCCTTTATTAATCTTTCCCATTTACTATAAATTTACTAAAAACGTAATCATCTTTGAAACAATTAAATGTGTTTTTCATCTTAAGTGGAACTGAAGTGTAGAGACGAGGGAGAGGCTCTATTGGATAATGTTCTCCTTAAAACCATATCTGAATTGTCAGTTAAAAAATCCAACACCAGTTTCATAAGGGGCCAGCACTTTTCAAAATGCACTTGGCATTTTGAAAAGTGAAGCAGCCAAGCCACAGTAAATGAGTTCCTACAGATGGAATTGGATAAATCATCAGTGCTTCCTTGTTGATAAAAATATCATAAGCTTTGCAAGCACTGGAAAATACCATATTTTAAAAGCTAGGTGAACTCAGGAATATATATTTATGCAACACTGACCATACCTCTTTCCCTCTAGATTTCATGTTACAATGAACATGCATACACCAGTCACAAAATAATAGCAGAACAACTTTTTAATTCTCCAAATAAAGAGGCCTATCAGTACCCTTGTGCAGCACATCAGGAGAGCACTGTCCCAGGAGTCTGTGGACATGGGCTCACAGCCAGGCCCTACTCTGTGCTACTTACCAGCTTTTCTGATGCTTCAGAAGCTAAGGGATAACACACATGGTTCCCTTACCCACCTCTGGAATTTAACTGACACACAAAGGGAAGAAAC